ACATGCGTCGAAGTGTATAGGGTACGTCAAAATACATCATTCAAAAAAACATGTCGGTTTAAAATATGATGTCAATGTATATACAGGGCGTTTCAAAATACATCATTAAAAAAAGATGCCAGTTAACAGAAGTCTAGCGTTCCAACATGTCGGAAGAATAATAAGTCTCGTATCTTTGTTAACCAAGTTAGCATCATCAGGAGAAGGAGGAGATGGCACCAAAGTTGTCGAGGAGTTATGTATTGTGGAGTTAACATTCGAAAATTGGGAAAGTGACCGTTTTACAAGCGTTTCGACCGTTTTGCGTGCGTTTTCGATCAGTTTGCGTGCGTCTTCGATCGTTTTGCGTGCATTTTCGACCGTTTTGCGTGCGTTTTCGACCCTTTTGCGTGCGTTCACTCGTTATCGTTTCATCGTTATTGTCGTAACCGTTTTTCGTGATAGTCATTTATCACTTAACGCGTTTCGCTAACCAAGTAAGCATCGCCAGGAAATCACTAAAGTCCATGCTTTGTCGTATGAAAATTCATTTTGCGGATTTTCAGACTCCCAAACAGAACCTTGTGGAACACTCAGCGCCTAACTCCTGTTACAGAGTGGTGTCGGTCAGCCAATCAGAATGGATGAATCAAATATCAGTCGATTGATTGTGTTACATGAAATTGAGATAAATAGTGATAAAACATTATAACTTTGGAAGTGACGTAGTCAGCGTGGGAGGTGGTGGCGTGGTAGAAAATGTGTGATGATTTGTGGAAATGAATGACATTAAAAAAAATGGCGCAACTGTCAGGAAAGGCACTAAGTTATATATTCACTAATAATGATCGGATCGTCACGTACAGCACGTCAAATGAAAGGATGAGAAATGCAGAATTCATCGGAAAAGAAAAAACAATGATGGCACAACATGTCAGAAGGGGACTAAGCCACATCTTCGTTAATGATAGTTGAATCTCAACGTGCAGCACATCAGATGAAAGAGAAACGAATGCAGAATTCATCGACAGAGAGAAAAACAAAGACGACGTAACATGTTAGAAGTGCACTGAGCCGTATTTTTGTTAATAATGATTTGTTCTCAAAGTGCAGCACATCAAATTAAATGGAAACAAATGCAGAATTCATTGACAAAGAAAAAACAAAGCTGGCGCAACATGTCAGAAGTGCACTAACCTGCTTCTTCGTTAATAATATTTGGATCGTCATGTATAGCAAGTCAAATGAAAGGAAACGAACGCAGAACTCATCGAAAAAGAAAAAACAAAGATGGCGCCATATATCAGAAATGCACTAACCCGCGTCTTCGTTAATAATAGTCGCATCGTCACGTGCGGCATATCAAATGAAAGAAGATATCTTGAATTTATCAGCAAAGAAAAAACAAAGAGTCAACCAAAAGGGCATCGAACCGTATCTTCGTTAATAATAGTCGGATCGTCGCTTTTGGCATGATTAATCCACTCAAGACTAAAATGGTTAGAAGATACCAACGGAGATCTTACGGTGACTATAAGTTCTGGTATGCTTTGTTAGGTATCGAATGATGCGTGCAATTTCGTTAATTCCAGCGACATGATTGTTCCAAGACATATTGATGTTCATTCGAACCCCAACAAACTCATCGAAGCAGAGGGTGGAACCCCAAAAAATAGGAGATATAGTACACCAAGTCAGCGAAGAGCAGCATTTTTCTGCAGAAAAAGGTTTGAATTTCTTCAAATTTTCCAAATATCTGTAACAGAAAGACAAAACTCAGCAGCGGAATGCTTTTATCTACTAATGTTAAGTATATGTCGGTAGTGTGTAACGAAGTTTTCCATTAAATTCACTGGTTGCGCCCTCTGGAGAATGTTCGTTACCATACACCTTGGATAGCAATATTTATTGTTTATCATTTCAAATCCGTTAAATACAAGGGGTTTGGAAATAGAAAAAACAACGTTTTAACGCTTTGTAGACGTGTTTGATGCTCTATGGGTGATTTTTAACCAACATACATTATCCATATTTTCAATATGCATAGAGCATCAAACACGTCTACAAAGCTTCAAAACGTAGTTTTTTTTCTATTTCCAAACCCCTTGTATTCAACGGATTCGAAATGATAAACAATAAATATTGCCATCTAAGGTGTATCGCAAAAAACATCCTCCAGAGGGCGCAACCAGTGAATTTAATGGTAAACTTCGTTACGCACTACCGACACTTACTCAACATTAGTAGATAAACGCGTTCCGCAGCTGAGTTTTGTCTTTCTCTTACAGATATTCGAAAAATTTGAAGGAATTCAAACATTTCTTTGCAGAAAAATGCCGCTCTTCGCTGACTTGGTGTACTATATCTCCTATTTTTTGGGGTTTCACCTTCTGCTTCGATAAGTTTGGTGGAGTTCAAATGGACACCAGTATGTCAGTAGTTACCGTAAGATCTCCGTTGGTATCTTCTAACCATTTCAGTCTTGAGCGGATGAATCATGTCAAATACAACGATCCGACTATTATTAACGAAGATTTCGTTCAGTACCCTTTTTGTTGCCTCTTTGTTTTTTCTTTGTTGATAAATTCAAGATATCTCCTTTCATTTGATATGCTGCACGTGACGATGTGCGACTATTATTAACGAAGACGCGGCTTAGTGCCTTCTGACATATGGCACCATATTAGTTTCTTCTTTGTCGATGAATCATGCAAATCTTTTTTTTTCATTTGCTATGCTGTACGTGACAATCCGAAGTTTTTTCATTGATTTTCTCCGCAATTCTTCCTATGCTGTTTCACATTAGGCGCTCGATATTATATTTTTTATAGTCTACAAATTATATCATTTGAAATGAGTACTCACATCGACCTGTTGTGACAAGTATAGCAAAAATAGGTTATGAGGTTCTTTTGGCTTCGTAAAATGATTAACTATGTTTTTGATATCCAACCGAATCCATTGATGTCAAAATCATCGGAATCGGACGACCGGAAGTGACCTGTTTTTCACGGACTCGAAACCTTCTCAACCTAATGAATCCAAAAATACCATATGTTTCAGTATACGATAATTTTTTCATCTTTTCGTCAACAAATTCTGCGTTTTGAATCAAACTTCTGCAATTGGATTACGCTCGAAGTTGTTCATAACCCAATAAATTTTTATTTCAAGTTTGGTCAATGATTTCCTGTGAATGTGCAATTCTTTCTATGCTATTTCACATTAGTATATTATACTTTTCATAATCTACAAATGAAATCATTTGAAATGAGTAGCCACATCGGTCTGTTGCGGCTAGTATAATGAAAATAGGTTATAAAGCCCTTTTGGCTTCGAAAAATGATCAATTATGTTTCATAACATGTAAACGAATTTCCACAAATCATCACACATTTTCTACCACGCTACCACCTTCCACGCTGTCTACGTCACTTTCAATGTTTTAATGTTTTATCACTATTATTATTATTATTCGACCCTCATTTTCTAGTTCAATTTCATCTACCACAATCAATCGAGCGATATTTGATTCCTCAATTCTGATTGGCTGACCGACACCACTCTGTAACAGAAGTTGGTCGCTGAGTATTCCACAAGGTTCTGTTCAGGAGTCTGAAAATTCGTAAAATGAATCTTCATATGACAAAGCATTGACTTCAGTCATTTCCTAATGATGCTTACTTGGTTAGCGGAATGCGTTAAATGATAAATGACTGTCATATCGAAACACGAAAAACGGTTACGAAAATAACGATTTTTTTAGATTTTTTAAAACGGTCACCTTCCCCATTTTCGAATGTTAACTCCACAATACATAACTCCTTGACAACTTTGGTGTCATCTCCACGTTCTGCTGATGATGCTAACTTGGTTACCAAAGATAGGAGACTGAGTATCCTTTCGACATGTTGGAACGCTAGACTTCTGTTAAACCGTCATGTTTTTTTCTTAAATGATGTATTTTGAAACGCTCTGTATATACATTGATATCATATTTCAAACTGACATGTTTTTCTCGAATGATGTATTTTGACGCAGCCTGTACACTTCGACACATGTTTGTTTTCAATGATGTATTTAGAGATACTTTGTACACATTGAGGGATCGCACGTTGAAAACTTACAGTCTCGTGAAACTGTAATGTTTTTTCTTAAATGATGTATTTTGACGCACCCTGTACACTTCGACGCCATATTTGTTTTCAATGATGTATTTTGAGACACCCCGTACACATTGAGGGATCGCAGGTTGAACTGTTGGGTTTTTATATTTTTTCTTAAATCAGTTTAATTATTATAAATATATCACTTTTGCGATTTCAATTTTCATCGAGTCGTTCACGCTTAATTTTAAAACTGGCAATGCTACATTGCCCCATGAACAACGATTTCTTTTACAACCAACAACACCTGCTACGCTAGAAACGTAAAACCTCGATACCATCTCCATCTATCTTTGCCTCGATTACGTCACACGCGTGTCTCGCTCTTACACACACATACACATCTTTATATGAAATATTAATTCTTTCCCAAATCTAAGTATATTTTCCGGAGTCTCAAGGGGGCCGATGGGCAGAGTACTAAGGGGGCCGATAGGTGAGACGGAGTACTGAGGGGCCGAGTTCCACGCTTGAATCGCTATGATATTCATTCCATTCCATCCGTCACACGTTTCCCCCACTACTGTTTGAACCAAAAATTGCAAAAAGTTTAGCTCATAAGAAAATACATAGAATTTTGAGCCCGGACCAAGTTTGCTCTTCTACTGAAATTAGCTCTGACTAGGCTACAGTACTTGTCATATTAATTTCCGCCTTAGTATCGCTGATCTTAAACATCCCTTCTTTAAAAGATGCCTCAACTCCTCGTCAAATTTGAATAAATTCGTTTATTCAAATTTGAATAACGAATAATAAATAACGAAAAAAAAAAACACAAGAACTGACCTCACGCCCCTCGGTGCGGTGCCCTCTCGCGGCAAAAATTTTTGTGGTTTCCGTTATTGACATATTTCTTCAAATCGCCCGTCAAAATCAAAAGTGACATACCTAAAATAGAATATATTTCAAAATATAATGAAATCAACCAGAAAGAAACGAAAAATGATACCAAATAAACGTAAAATGAAGAAACCTAAGTATATTAAAGAAAAACCTCCATCACTGGACCCAATGAATTCGAAACACCCTTCAGTAACAAAAAATAGATACACCGTGAGAAGTTATGAGCAATGTCATGATAAATTTCTGACCTATGACCAAATAAAAGAATTTCTCATCAAAATGGCCACGAAATACCCATCTAAAATCGAATTACAAGTGATAGGTAACTCCACAGAAGGAAGACCCATTTATTTGGTTATCATTTCCGATGATTCATCCGATGATACTAAACTGGCAACACTTATTGAAGCGGGGTCTAATGGATGCGATTGGATGGCTATCTCAACTGCACTATTCCTGATCGATTTCCTCACAAAAAATAACAGTTTGTCTAAAATTATGGATTATTTCATTTTACCATGTTCCAATCCAGACGCATATCATAAAACCATGAATATTACTAACTCTTCCAATCCAAATATACTGATGAATATAGCAAATAATTTTCCAGTCACTCTCGGATTATTCAGTACAAAGTTCATACAAACGGAAGACTTTCTCAAAGCAATCAAGCTTTGGAAAGAAAATTTCCAATACAAGTTACCCGAGACTATGGCTCTCCTGAAGGTTATAGCCAATTACCAATTTGCAGTCAAGTTACTCATTTCTTTACAAGAAAATGGCGAACAAATTGTATATCCATTTGGTATTTGCAGGGAAGAGGTTTTCGATGCAGAGGATTTGAAAAAAATTGCCAAATCAGGACAGATGATGATTAAAAGACGGTGTTTTCAAGTAGGATCTATTTATCAGTTGTGTGGTTTAACTTTTGGATCACTTGTGGATTATCTTAAGATTAGGCAGACGTCAATTAAATTCACATACATTTTGCATCTCGGCAACAAAAAAGGTGACGCGGACCCCAAAAATATTTTGAGCTGTGGTGAAGATATACTGAACTGTATTAAAATAATGGCAAAAAATGTTTATATGTTTTACCATAAATCAGATAAAATGAACACAAATAATGAATAAATAAATTGTTTTGAATCCATCCTCCATCGTAAAGAGTATTTTTTTTAAGAACAACAAGATATCACTTTTCCTTTGTGGGTTTGTTGAGTTTTCTCAATGATTTTCTTGATTTCTTTTCGATAGAACAAAGGGCCTGTTTTTGAATATTGAAAGGAATGAAATAAAAAATTAAATTTTCTTCGATAGTCGTGGTTTGATTTTTATGTCTATTAAATAGATTACGTCTTCGTAAGAAAAATTGTCATTGCCATCACCTACTCAGAGTTTTCCTAATTTTTTTTGTATCTTCGGCATCAACAACAATGGTCATTAGCTTCGTATTCTGGATAAGTTTGTATTAATAACTCCTCAAGCCACCTAGGGAGCATCCTGTCTATTCCCTGTTTTGTCAACCATGAATCTATCTTCAACTAGATTGGCTACTGAAGGCTACGCTTTGGGACTTTGTTAAAATCCAAAATAAGAATGTTTTACGAACGAAGGGGTTGTTGGAGTTTATTTCAATAATATTTCCCAATAGAGGTTTTGTAAAATGGTCATTAGAATCGAGGGCCATGTAGCATGTTTAGACACCGTGAACCAAGAGTGAATCATCATTTGGTATTTGTCTATATTTGTTCTGATATTTTTCGGCAAATGTGTATAGTATTGACGTCCAGATTTGAATAGGCATGCGAAAAATTTATTTAGAGAAAGTGAGATAAGATCAACTAGAAATAAAAATTGTTCCAGTAAATTTGTATTGAGTAGGCATAAACTATGTAATGGAAGTGTGGATACCACACTATGTCTATTTACACACTATGTCACATACTATTTCTATAAACTATATAATCTATGATCATTCTCTAATGACTGTTGTTGATTTCAAAATTCGGCAATGTGAATTTTGAAAAGTAAATATGTGTCTGTTTCTATGCTCATTTTTCAAAAGATCATATACACTAGTCGTTAGTCTTATAAAAGAATCCTCAACCATGATGTCTGGGAAAAATGACGGATCAGATATCTCACAAGGACAATCAAAAGACATTTGATAAAAAATCTTTGAAAGAGAAAGAAAAGCAGCTGACAATGAATACGATAAGTTGCTGTTCTGAAATAAGTACCATTGGCATGATGCCTTCTATGAATTTTTGAAAAATATTTACAAAAACTGAAAATAGAAGAAACTCAATTTGCCCAATTTGTCCATTTCATCTATTTTGATTATTGACGGGTCCGAAAAACGCAGTGGAGTCCGTTGAAAATGTGTCAGGTACATATTTGTATTTATAACTTCTAGGAACGCTCTTTTGTGTCGTGGAATTATGCGTCGGCGTAATACAAATTTCCCAGACACCGTAAATACCACTGCAGCGTTGTGCGATCGCTTGACTACGGCTTAACGATTGGCTTACAAAAAAAATGTGAATTTGGAGAAAAGGGATGATGAAGGTACTGAAAATAAAAATGCTCTACGTCTAAGTAGGGTCTGTAGATTGTGTAATGCAAAAACTTGATGAATCATGATTTGCGTCCTTAGCAATAAATGATTCACCATTGAATTTTCAACTAGACATCGAATTATGAACTTTAATCCGTAATTGAATGGAATTAATCCAAAATCATGTAAAAATAATAATTCGTTTGAATTGCTAGTACAAAAACAGATTAAATATATTGCATTTTTTGTAGTTTATCATATTATCGATACATTCTTGGATTAGAAACATTGCCAGCCCTACCATAGGGCGAACGGAGCGGCCATTCAAGGCGTCAAGTCCAAGGTGGCGCCTCAGTGGACAAGAAAGTTCACTTGTTATTAAATCATCATACCCTATTTACTTCGGACATCAAGGTTAGATCTGAAGATTGTCATCTGTAAGAGTCCAATTATTAAAGACAATTAATTATTCTTTCATTAGGAAGCTGTAGCATAACTCTAAAATATTTTTTTAAATCAGCACTGTGACATTAATTTTGATACAAATATCATAACAAGTAGTAGTTCCAAAGTTGATTATGGTTTTCATTCTCACAATGAATATCGACCTTTTTTTATTACATAATTCAGTTAAGTACTTCATTATTGTTATTATTAGAAACGTGTAAGTTAACCCTAAAGAGTTTTGTTTAAAAGTGGTTGACAATGTTTCAAGGTGAATTTAACTAGTTCGTACTTCCAATTGTAAAACCACTACAAGATTAAATTGCACCTATTCTGAAGGATTCAAAACATTTTGTCAAATTACTAGAGGCAATCCAAGTCACAGAACAAAATCAAATAATCAATTTCGACGTGGAAAGCCTTTTCACCAACGTTTCTGTCGAAAAAAGAATTCATATCATACAGAGAAACGTATCCGAAGACGAGGACTTGGAAAATAGAAAGAAGTCACCTATAGAAGTGATCATAAAAATACTAGGATACCGATCTGCTATTTCCAACTGATGGACGAATTCTTTACGTAAGATGAGGGACTGCCAATACTGCCGATGGGATCGTCACTTTCACCAATTATAGCCAAGATATAATATATAAAGTGATTTGAAACTCTGGCCATTGAAAAAGTACACGAGAAGCCTCAAGTCTGGTTGAGATACGTTGGCGACACCTCCATAACATGGAACCATGGGAATTCAGAACTAAATAACATTCTGAAGCACATCAACAGCGTAAAACTTCGCACCACCTTCACAATAGATCAGGAGGTCCAAAACGAACTGCCATTTTAAGACGTGTTGGTGAAAAAAACCGGCACTAAGTGGGAAACATCTGTATACCGAAAACTCACTCACACGGGACAGTATCTGAATCACGAATCCAACCACCATATGTAATACAAAGGAAGATATGTGTGATTGATGACTTGTTTATTTTGTGATAATTCATGATCACTTTACTGAAATGAATAAACACACTTTTCTCTAATTTCCACTAGTTGATGATGGGGTTAAACCCGAAACCGGTCGTATAAATAGAATTAACTAGTGGAAATTAGACGAAAGTGATTTTATTCATTTCATGAAAGTGACAAAGGAAGATCTTGAGAAGAAACTAGGCATCATCATAAAAGATATTCCACTCCAAAGTGATGGTGGAAAAGACTTTAGCTAGAAGACAACAAGGAAGAGAAGCCGTCATAACCAGTACTTGCCCTTCCCTACGTTATAGGATTTTCGGAAAGGAAAAGAAGAATTGGATCCAAGTACAACATCAGAACCTGCTTCAGACTCGGAAACACCATCCTTAGCAGCCTTACGAAAACCAGTCCACCAAACGCAGACTGCGATTCCAAGAATTGCATTCACCGGATACCCTGTGGGTGTGTCAAATCCTATATCGGTGAAACTAAGAGGCAATTGATATTTCGCATTTCCGATCTCAAGAGAGATTCACAACCAGGAGAAACTAGCGAATCGGGAATAGAACATGTTTGGACTCATCAACATACCATCAAGTGATCCCAAGCTGAAATCATCCACAGCGAAGAACAATGCTTTGAGAGGAAATTGAAAGAAGCTGCATATATGTTGTCCAACGACGCCTTCAGCTAAGCTAACATAGAGATACGCAACATATAGAAACCTGCAATCAGGCGAAAAACGATCAACTTTCACTAAACCGGTGAAGTGGAGAAAGGAAAGAGAGGATAGGTGAAAGCGCTGAAATTACCTATAAATAGTCATTACTTGGAGAAATAGCCCAGTCATCACCCAATGAAAACTTCGCAAAGTGAAGTAACTTGGTTTGAAATCTTTTTTATTCCTTTTATTGTTTTTTTCATTATTCGCAAATTTTAATTTTTAATTTTTTCATCTCTTCCTAAACTACGATCATTTTCATCGTGATCATTTCGTTTTATTTCATTTCACGTTTTTTTGCTAATATACAAGGTCCTGCAACAGTGGCGCGGTGTTCCATATCTCTATTTAGGAAACAGATAGGAATCTAAATTTCTGTAATATTACCTTATTACTCGAGTTCGACAAAATGAAAATATTGGCGGTCACACAGGGTGTTCAATTTATTCTGGGCGGATCCCAACTGTTTTCAAATTGTAACCTATATTTTTTATCGTTTTTTCAGTTTCTACATAGAAAATAAAAGACACTTTATGAATATCTTCACTTCGAAAATATTGACGGTTTTCGAGATATCTAGCATGACAGGTTTTTTCTCCAATATTCGTCACTCATAATATTTGAAATTATAAAGTTGTGCAAAGTCCTATTGATTTTTTTTTGGTCAGATATTCTACATTGGTAACTCTCTCAACCGATATTTCTGAAATCTACCTGTGATATACAGGGTATGAAAAACCGCTTGCAACATATTGTAAATAAAAATTTGCAGAATCTTCCTTATTTTAAATGGAACACCCTTTATATTATTGATCCATAAGGAGCGCCAACAAAACCTCTACAAATTTCATTAAGTATTCCTGATGGCTAGGTTCTATAGTTTTTTTAAAAAAAGCATTATTTTCGAAAAATGGTCGTTCTTTCTATTTCTACGCCATAAACTCGATGAAAGACTTCTTTCAAAGCGAAATCCATTTGACGACTGATAAGAATGTACGTAAGATATCTTGTTTCAATTTTGTAGGTACATTTTAGCGTGTCCTATAGTTTTTTTTGTTTTTCTAAAACTGACAACTCTCTATTGTATCGCCATAATATCAATGATTTTTTTACTGTGAAATCCATATGTGGCGGCTGTGATCGAGATATATATATTATGTTTATAACACATTTATTCTCTAAATAGAACACCGTGCAATTTCTTCATTTGATGCATAGTTTTTGTCCAAGCCTGTTCCTAAAGTATCGGCCCATGCCTAAAATTACCTGTTGCTAGATAAACAAGTTTTGAATTACACCGCAAAATGTACGTTCTTGAATAATTACAATAATTTCAATAATCTCGACATTTGTGCCATATTTTTTCGGTCTAAAACAACCTTCAGCGAATAAAATAAAATTAAACGATTTGTTGAAACTGGATGTATCAATTATTCTAAACATGAGCGCATCAAGACAG